GGAACTGGAGGCTCCTTGGCTGTCTGCAGGCCCAGTAATGGACCACTTCAGCCAACTCTCCCAGGCTGAGGTTGACAGGATCCTGGGTGCTGTGAAGCCCTCCACTTGCCTTCTGGATCCGTGTCCATCATGGCTGGTGAACTACAAACTGGAAGGTCAGCAGTTCAGCAGTTGGAGACTCGAGTGCTGCATGACGGAATGAGCTCCCGTCTCTGGTCTCAGCTCCTGCCAACCTAGCAGTTCGAAAGCAAGAAATTGCAGGTAGATAAATAGGTAATGCTTCGGTAGGAAGGTAACAGCGTTCCCTGCCCCTCGGTGTCTAGTCATGCCGGCCACATGACCACGGAAACGTCTTTGGACAGCGCTGCCTCTTCGGCTTGGAAACGGAGATGAGCACCGCATCCCTAGAGTTGGATTTTACTGGCTTTCAAGCAAGGGAAACCTTTACCTATAGCGAATATTATCAACTACTTTGAGTTCAGGGACCTCCCGGGGACTTTAAAGGAAGCAGTGGTGAGGCCGCTCTTAAAGAAGCCATCTCTGGATCCAACTGATCCAACCAACTACTGCCCAGTTTCGAATCTTTTGTTCCTGGGTAAGGTTGTTGAGAGAGCAGCAGCAGAACACCTCCAGACTTTCCTGGATGATTCCTCTATCCTGGATCCATTCCAGTCTGGTTTCCCCCCAGGCTATGGAACAGAGACAGCTTTGGTCACCTTCACGGATGATCTCCGCAGACATCTGGACCAAGGTGGATTGGCGCTGCTGCTATTACTTGATCTAACAGCATCCTTCAATATAGTTGATCATGATCTCATGACCCACCACCTCACCAATTTGGGGATACATGGGACAGCCTTGCAATAGGTCATCTCATTTTCCTATGGTCAGGGACAGAGGGTGGCGCTTGGGGAGAGGGTTTCACCGCATTACCCTTTGGTATGCGGCATCTGACAAGGAGTGATTCTCTCTCCTATATTATTCCACATCTGTAGGCATCCCCTCGCCCAGCTAGTATGGAGTTTCGGGCTGCGTTGTCACCAGTACGCTGATGACACCCAGCTGTACCTGTTGATGGCCATCTGGCCGGGTACCACCCCAGATATATTAGCCAAGGACCTTGAGGCTGTGGCTGGCTGGTTAAACCACAGTCAACTGAAATTAAATCAGTCGAAGACAGCGGTCCTGTACATGAGCTGGGGTGGGATGGGATTGGGGATCCAACTCCCAACTCTTGATGGGGCATTGTTGTCAGCAGTACCCAACAGTGAGGAGTCTGGGTGTGATTTTGGATGCCTCGCTATCACTGGAGGCCCAAATCACGAGTGTTGACAGATCAGCATTTTCCCATCTTCGTCAGGTCAGGCAACTGACTCCCTACCTATCCCCCCGCAACCTAGCCACAGTGATCCATGCAATGGTCTCCTCCAGGCTCCTCCTGTGCAGGGCTACACTTATTGACCCTGAAACTTCAACTGGTTCAGAATGCAGTGGCGTGTGTACTCATAGGAACACAACTAGGGGCCCATATACAACCGGTGCTCTGCCAGCCGCACTGATTTTCATTTGAATACTGGATCAAGGTTTTGGTTCTAACCTTTAAAGCCCTATGCAGTCTGGTCCCAACATACCTTCAGGACTGTCTCTCTCGGTATGTCCCTCAAAGAGCATTACACTCTATGGATCAACATTTACTGGTGGTCCCCGGCTCGAAGGAGGTCCTCTTAGCCAGAACCAGAGCTTTCTCACCTCTGGTGCTGGTCTGGTGGAACACTCTCCCAAAAGAGATCCGGGCCCTGCAGGACCTAATGCAGTTCCACAGGGCCTGTAAAATAGATGTTCTGCCAGGCCTATGGGTGAGGGGGTAGAGATCTATTAGCACCGGCCTCCCCCCTGCGTGGTTCCATCTTGCACAGCTCCTTCTCAACTGTCCAGCTCCCGCGGTTACCATCTAATACATGTATGTGGAGTTGACCTAGGCGTAGCTGTTGTGACCGGAACTCCTCTAAGGACGGTTCCGAACGCCCAATTCTGACTTATCTACGACAGTGGGCGTGGCGTGAGTTCTTGCCAATGTATACAGAGGTCAGATTGGCCCAACGGAACTCCTAATTCCCAGGAATTGAGACAACACGCTAGGTTTATGAATAAATGTTGCCTTTTACTAAACAGTTCTCAAGCATACGAAAACAGATGCATACACAGATTCTCTCAAGATCCTTAGTTACAATAGTTCATAGAAAGCAATCAGCAAGGAAAATAACAAAAGCAACAGACAAGGGGGATAACACAACAGGATATCGCTTATACTTATCTGAGGTCCAAGCTGGGGAGAAATCTCCTCGTAGCAGAAAAGGGGCAGCTTAAGGATCAGCGGGTGAATTCTAAAAGCACACGAGCTGGACCGGCCAAGCCACATGCGGGTTCCTGGGTCGCGACTCCCGGGAACGCAGTAAGACTCACCTGCAGCACTTACGTTGCAAGGTAGTGGATCAACTCTTGATGGGGCATTGTTGTCAGCAGTACCCAACAGTGAGGAGTCTGGGTGTGATTTTGGATGCCTCGCTATCACTGGAGGCCCAAATCACGAGTGTTGACAGATCAGCATTTTCCCATCTTCGTCAGGTCAGGCAACTGACTCCCTACCTATCCCCCCGCAACCTAGCCACAGTGATCCATGCAATGGTCTCCTCCAGGCTGGATTACTGTAATGCGCTCTGTGCAGGGCTACGCTTATTGACCCTGAAACTTCAACTGGTTCAGAATGCAGTGGCGTGTGTACTCATAGGAACACAACTAGGGGCCCATATACAACCGGTGCTCTGCCAGCCGCACTGATTTTCATTTGAATACTGGATCAAGTTCAAGGTTTTGGTTCTAACCTTTAAAGCCCTATGCAGTCTGGGACCAGCATACCTTCAGGACTGTCTCTCTCGGTATGTCCCTCAAAGAGCATTACACTCTATGGATCAACATTTACTGGTGGTCCCCGGCTCGAAGGAGGTCCTCTTAGCCAGAGCCAGAGCTTTCTCACCTCTGGTGCTGGTCTGGTGGAACACTCTCCCAAAAGAGATCCGGGCCCTGCAGGACCTAATGCAGTTCCACAGGGCCTGTAAAACAGATGTTCTGCCTGGCCTATGGGTGAGGCGGCAGAGATCTATTAGCACCGGCCTCCCCCCTGCGTGGTTCCATCTTGCACAGCTCCTTCTCATCTGTCCAGCTCCCGCGGTTATCATCTAATACACGTATGTGGAGTTGACCTAGGCGTAGCTGTATTTAATTGGCGCCATTGATTGCTGCTTGATGCTATTATTCACTGAGGTTGCGCTGGATTTTTAATGATTGCTGATATTATGTTTCATTATTGTATTATTTTACTTACTGTTGTAACCTACCCTGAGCCTTGCTGTGCAGGAGAGGGCTGGCTAGAAATAAAATAAAATAAAATAAAAGCAAGTTAAGAAGAAGCCCAAGTTCTTGTTTCCAATCTCAGTTTTTGTCAAGTATGTGCTCACTTTCAGAATATCATGGGATGTGGATGGAAGTAGAACTGTCTTGAGCTTTTGACGTCTGCTGGGTTTATGCAGATGTCCTGCAATTATGTTAATGACAGCCAATGGATATGTTGGAAATAGCCTCCTCCTCCTCCTAGCTCAACCCAGTATGCAGTGGAACTTTCATTATGCTGTAGGCATAGCATCTGTAGCTATTTTATCTGTTTATCTCAACCTTCCTCCATTGAACTACAGGTGGTACACATGCCTCTCCTCCCCTCCCACAAGTGTGCCCTTGCCCTGCACGTTTAAAGTGCCAGTCTCACCCTGCACCATATTGTGCCACTAGAGAGGTGGGGGAGCGACTGTGCCCTGTTTAGTGGGCAGATCAGGCAGAGACTGACAAATTTCAGCATCTCAGTTTCGTTTCTTCTCTTTTTTAGCCACAGTGCAGCAGAAAGCCTTTTCACAGGAACTCTCGGTCTGGGGCAAGGGATGCTCTGTATTCTTGGTGCTTGGGGGGGGCAACAGTGGGAGGGCTTCTAGTGTCCTGGCCCCACTGCTGGACCTCCTGATGGCACCTGGTATTTTTGGCCACTGTGTGACAGAGTGTTGGACTAGATGGGCCATTGGCCTGATCCAGCATTGGCTTCTCTTATGTTCTCTTATGTTCTTATGAACTGTTGTTTTAATCTGGGTTTTTTTAACTGTGTTGTATTTTATACTGTTGTTACCCGCCCTGAGCCCGCCCACGGGGGAGGACAGGATATAAATCCAAATAAATAAATAAATAAATCACCCTGCACATATGCATTATAGTCCTAGTACCTTTTAAGCAACATATGTCCTTCTCTACCCACCTGTTCCTTTCTCTCCTATCAAGCTGGGGCATTCCCAGGACAGAAAGTGCACAAGTTGTTATGGAATTAGACTGCATTAAGGATCTCTGGATTGCGGGCAGTTCTGAAAGTAGACAGGCTTCCTATTGGGTCCCTCTTCTAATTTGGACTGCTGGAAATTCCCCATGAGAATGAGAGTCTTGGGCTGAGCAGGACAAGGGGGAGAGCCGGATATTAAATGGATTCTCACACATACCCTTTTTTTGGCCAGCTCTGCCTGCTTTATTCTGCCTGGGTTCTCTAGGAGCTTTATGTTGCCAGGTACAATTGGGGGGTGGGGGAGTGCAGAAAAGTAGAAGGAAGAGCTTTGTGGTGAATTGCATCCCCTTCCCGGCAAGCTATGGGAAACTTTGCCGGCAGGTACCGAGGCACAAAGGCAAGGCACATATCCAGTAACTGCTCCCCGTCTTCTCCGTGCTGACAGGCTGTGGAATATGACACCTGCCCCAAGAGATGCTCGATGGAAGAAATTTAATTATTTAGCCCTTGCTGAAAAAAGAGGAGACGGGCACTTTCGAGTCTGTTAGCCGTGCTGTAATCAATAGGTGAGCTGAGAATGTTATTAAAAGAACTGCCTCTTTTCCACCTCCCTTCATATGACTTGCAGGTCCCAAGGGAAGAAGGAGGAAGCGGTTCTCTTGCTGAGAGATTCCATTCAGTATGGACCAGAGTTTGCAGATGCTTATTCCAGCCTTGCTTCACTGCTGGCTGAACAGGTAACCTGTTCCCTCCAGGTTCACGTAGCCAATAATCTATCTGTGCTGTGTTACTAGTGTTACCTTTTACTGTCTTGCTGTAGGAAGACGCATGCTTGTGATCAGGGCCGAGTGCATTTTGTGCTGGAAAAATAATGGAAAAAAAGAAGCAGAATTACACCTTAATAACAATACGGAACTGTAATAATAATAATATGTAACAGTACATAATAATAAAGGAAAAAGAGAAAGGAGGGAAATGATCAATTCACAAAAGCTGAAAGTGTGCATATGGGATTATATTATTGCTTATTTTTAGATTTCAGAAATCGATAAACAGGGACCATTCTCTCTGCAAACCTGTCTCTAGGGACAAATCTATTCCTTTGATCCCTAAAAGTGTGTGTTAATTTAGTCATTAAGGCTGCATTCCAAACCCATTTCAACCAATCTGAAACAGCCGGATTAAACCCCCTCCCCTCTCTATAAGCAATATTTAATTTAATAGCCAATAATAAGCTTAACACTAACTCTAAGTCTATAAACACAGTGCCTTTTGGGTAATGTAACTGACTAAACTTTAGTTCCAAAGGAATATTATAATATAATGTCTCCTTTTAAAATTTTGGAAATCTGTATTTACAATTTATGTTATTTTGAACTATACCCCCTGATCAGATGCACTGAACATGAACATCACTGACAGCTGTCTATTACACTGGTATAAATATGGGCTTTAAAAACCCTGTTTAAGAAATTGGAAGTAAAACTGTGTCAAGGTAGTCGTGATTCTGGGCTTGAATTGTATATATTCATTTTCATACTTTACTTCTTTTTTTTTTTAACATTGTGTGTTTCGCTTTTAGTAGCCAAGGACCTGTTCAGGTTGACTTCTGCAAAATCTTTTAATTTTTTTTATTAAGGGACATTTTTAACCCCACTGTTCTTCGCTTGGTGGACTCCAAAGCATCTTACAGGAATTCAGACTAAATGAACAAAACCTCCTGAGTACGATAAACTCCCTCCTGGTTTGGTCCTCATTCCACTTGGCACCACTCACTCAAGAATGCAGGATGTAAGTCATGGGCTAAGAGCCAGCGGCCCTTTGGTTTGTGCCAAAAGGTGTGTGCCTCTGACTGTGCAAGAGCTTAAATATTTGCAAACAGGATGGGAAGCAGAAGCTCAGCTTCCATATTATGCAGTTGACAGACTGAGAATTCACCTCCCTTGCTGGTGTTACAGCATTTTATCTTCTACAGCTGTCTGCCAAACAGCTTATATATACAGTGGATGCTGGACCTGAGCATAGGTTCCCTTGTTGTACATACATCATAATATAGGATGTGATGTTTGACATGGCGTGCAGGATTGAGAGTGCATATCTGTAGTAATGTATGGCTGCAAGAGTTGGACCATAAGGAAGGCCGAGCACAGAAGAATAGATGCTTTCGAATTATGGTGCTGGAGAAGACTCTTGAGAGTCCCTTGGACTGCAAGAAGATCAAATCAGTCAATCCTAAAAGAAATCAACCCTGACTGTACCCTGGAAGGCCAGATAATGAAACTGAAGCTCAAATACTTTGGCCACCAAATGAGAAGGGAGCACTCACTGGAGAAGACCCTGATGCTGGGAAAGATTGAAGGTCAAAGAAGATGGGGATCGCAAAGGATGAGATGGTTAGACAGTGTCATAGATGCAGCGAACATGAAATTGAGCTCTGGGTGGAAGACCAGAGGGCCTGGCATGATTTGGTCCATGGGGTCGCGAAGAGTTTGACTCAACTGTGCGACTGAACAACAACAACATCTGATTCCTGCAATCATTCCTTCTCAAAAAGGGAGAGGAAAGGGTCATGGGGATCTTCACTAAAATTCTTTCTTAACCGTGATTTTGCGATCCCATTCAAAATCTTGTTATAAATCATGGCTAAAATGGAAACTGTCTACAGTAAAGCCAGACCACTGCAGGTTCTCTCAGTATGCCATCATCAGCTGTTAGATCTTTGTGCCAGCATGTGTGTGTAGGTCTCCCTCATCATTCCTCCGGAGAAGCAAATGCATCATTTTGCAAACAACTGATGTGGAACGTTACGACAGCAGCTCTGAAATCTTTTCACTTCCCTGTCTTTATATAAGGCAAATGAAATTTTCGAAATGGGGAGAAGTGCTACTCTTTGTGTTATTAAACTGCTATCATACCACTTCTCATTCCCTAGAGGAACGATTTTTTAAAATGTCTAGGTTCATAAGGCATGATAGAAAACACTGCAAGGGCTGTTAGGGGAAAGAAACCAGAACGTTGCCTTTTGATGCTGGTTTGCTTTATCTTCAGGCGTAGAGTGGAAAAAACATCTCTGCATGCTAATTTCCCCCCCTGCCTTGCCATTGAAGTATGAAGAAGCTCCTGCATTGAACCAACTCCAGAAAATAAATGAAATTAATTGCTCACAGTGACAAGTGGTTTAAACAGTATGGATTTTCAGTAGTGTGGAACACTGGTCAAAGGCCATTTAGAGCAATAACTAATATAGAGTCAAAGAGGCTGAGAGTCAAAAGCAATTGCCCCTTAGAAGCTATAACCTTCTTTGCTGCTGAGATGATAGAAAACCTATAAGGAAGGTTCAACGTTGATCTGTACAACTCCTTCAGTCATTATCTTATGCATGGAAGCAAAAAAAGAAAAAAGTCAGTAGAGAATAAGTGGAGGTTATGGTCCAGGACCTGCTTGTATTTATTTATTTATTTATTATCAGATTTGTACCCCGCTCTCCCCGCAAGCAGACTCAGGGTGGCTTCCAACACAACATATATACCGCTTAAGTTGGGATTTAAAAAAATCCCACACAATTATTAAAAACACTACAAATCAACAAGCATAAAGTGCTGGTGGCAATTAAAATTCACTTAGATGGCACACTTTCAATGGATTTCCATTTCCCAGTGTTCTAAGATGTTCTTCTGCTTGTGGTTTCTTTATGGCAACAACTCGATGGTGGATCATGGGCCAGGTACTGCAACAGTCGGGCGATCCAACGGTGGCGGCCCCTAATTGAAAGTCGGGCGGAAGAGCTCCGTCTTGCAGCCCCTGCAGAACTGTGAGAGGTCTTGCAGGGCCCTGATCTCCTCCGGGAGCTAGTTCCACCAGGTAGGGGCCGCCACCAAGAAGGGCCTGGCCCTAGTGGCAGCTAATCTGGCCTTCTTCGGGCCAGGGAGGGTCAACTGATTCTGAGACCCAGACCGTAGTGCTCTCTGGGGTATATACGGGGAAAGGCGGTCCCGTAGGTATGTCGGACCCCGGCCATAAAGGGCTTTAAAGGTAAGAACCAGCACCTTGAAGCGGATTCGGTATGCTATTGACAGCCAGTGCAGTGTCCTCAGCGCAGGCCGGATGTGCAGACCATCTAGGGAGGCCCAACAACAGCCTGGCTGCAGCATTCAGCACTAGCTACAGCTTCCGAATCCGCGGCAAGGGCAGCCCCATATAGAGAGCATTACAGTAGTCTAGTCTCGAGGTGACCATCGCATGGATCATTGTAGCCAGGTCAGCGCGGTTGAGGAAGGGAACCAACTGCCTAATCAGCCTGAGATGATAAAAGGCCGACTTCGCAGTGGCTGCTACCTGGGCCTCCATAGTAAGGGAGGGATCCAGGCCCACTCCCAAACTCCGAACCTCCAGGGCTGGGACCAATGGAACCCCCCCGAAGGTCGGAAGTGGGATCCCCACCCCTGAATCACCCCGACTCAAGCACAGAACCTCCGTCTTTGCTGGATTCAAATTCAGCCGACTCAGTCTAAGCCAACCAGCCACGGTCTGCAGCGCCCGGTCTAGATCTTCTGGTCTGGAGTCCGACTGGCCGCCTAGCATCAGATAGAGCTGGGTGTCATCAGTGTACTGGTGGCATCCCAGCCCATACCTCCAGGCGATCTAGGCAAGGGGGCGCATATAAATGTTAAATAACATCGGGGACAGCACAGCCCCCTGAGGCACATCACTTGCAAATGGGTGTCTCCTGGACTGCTGTTCCCCTTGCACCACCCTTTGTCCCCGACCCTGGAGAAAGGAAGTCATTGCAAGGCAAGCCTCCGAATCCCCACATCGGTGAGGCGGTGGACTAGTAACTGGTGGTCGACCGTGTCAAACGCGGCCGACAGATCTAATAACAACAGTACCGCCGACCTGCCTCGATCCAGATGTCTCCGGAGGGCCTCAGTCAGGGCGACCCATGCCGTGTCAGGGCGACCAACGCCGTCTCCGTCCCATGTCCCAGGCGGAAGCCAGACTGGAAGGGATCTAGCACGGAAGCATCATCCAGAAAGCCCTGCAGCTGTATCGCCTCTCAATCAATTTGCCCAAATAGGGCAGATTGGAGACCGGCCGATAGTTGGCCAATTTGGCCGGATCTAACGATGGTTATTTCAGAAGAGGGCGGACCATCGCTTCCTTGAGTGCCCCAGGGAACTGCCCCTCAGTGAGGGACTTGTTGATAATCTCCCTCGAAACCCCTCATGGCCGGATTTAATGAGCCATGAAGGGCACGGATCAAGGCTGCATGTGGTTGGGTGCACGGTTGCGAGCAGTCTGTCAACTTCCTCCAGACTAAGAGGGCCAAAGCGATCCAGGCTTGAAATCGAAGATGTGCAACGGGCCTCAAGCTTACTCACTGTTTCAAGTGTGGCGGGGAGACTTTATCTGCAAAATAGCTCGCAAAAGCCTCAAAGCCCCTAGCATTTGGTCTGCCCCGAGGCAGTACAGTTATCGACCGAATCATCCTAAACAATTGGGCTGGGCAAGAGCTAGCGGATGCAATTGCCGCCGCATAGGCCAGATGGCCCAAGCAGATCCTCAGATTGTTGGCTCGTGGATTCCTTACAAATGCTTCATTTTATTAAAAGAACCAGATTGTTGGCTCGTGGATTCCTTACAAATTCTTTACAACTATCCAGCTATAGTTGCACCCATGTGGAGGCATTGCGTGTGATTCATTGATCATGAGAGTCGATGGGAATTCATGTACCTACGA